AGGGGACCCAGGAAGGTGCCTCTCAGGACCCCCTTAGGAAAGAATTCCTTCAGGGTGGCTGGTTGGCCACCTGCAGCCGTGAACTCCAAGTCCATCTCAGCTCGGGAGCCAAGTCTTGCTCTTCCCAGGTGGCCCGGCCAATGACAAAGCGAGACGGTGGTACAGGAGTCTAGCCTGAGGGCAGTAACTGCCATGCGCAGGCTGCCCAGCCCTGCTTCCTCCAGCTTCTTTCCACAGGGGTTTCCTGCGGTAGATCTCCTGCATTTCTGATTTCAACTTACCTTATGCTTCGCGAAGACCCAACTGACACAGAGATACCGGCAGTGGAGTTGTCCAGGAAAGCAGGTGGTTAGACGGGGTTTGGGGGCTGGATCGCTCACCACCCAGCCGCCTCAAGGACTGCATGCCGGGTGGTGTGTGGAGCACAGAGCGTCTCTAGGACAAAGTGGCGGCCTGATTGCTAAACCTTCCGCAGTGGCAACTTTAGGAAAATGTCTGCCGAAGGGGTAGACCTTCACCAGTGCGCTAGAAGGACAATGGGATTGCACCACAGTGCAGGGGGATGACGAAAAGTTGAATGTGAAGCCCAGAGGGCTTCTGCAGTTCAGTGTGAGAACACGAAACGCTGACGCTCACTCTGGATTTAAAACTTAGTAGAGAGCCTCAAAGACAATTGAATGTGTCTCTAAGGCAGGTCCGTTTGCAAAAGTCAAGGTCCTGGCTGAGAAAAGCTGAGTTCCTGATGCATCTGGGTGGATTTACCCAAACATTTTGGCTCCCCAGATCCCGATGCCTCAAAGTCTGAAGAAGTGGCCCCTTCTCCCTTGTGAAGATCTGGCTCTCCTCCTGTGGGGGAAGATGCACAAGACCACAGAGATCTCTTTCGGATGCCAAGTCGATAACTTGTATTACGTAGCTGTACAACCCAGCCACGTAACCGTATGAGAATGTACTACGATGACTTCCTAGACGGCTCGCCTCTGATCCTTTGCTTCTGTGGCTGCAGAGAATATTCTCGGAATGGGTTGGAGAGTGGGGAGGGGGCCCTGGTCACAGCTCCCAGGTTTGGATATTTAGGCCCCTGTGTTGAGAGGCAGCCTCTTTATAATGTGGGATGACTCTGGGGGCTGTGAAACCAGGGTTCAAACAGAGGATTTGACATTAGCTGGATGGCAGCCTTCAATTAATTTAATCGATTGAAGGTTCACGTAATTCATTTGTAAAATTTGCTACCTGATTTGATAGGCTATTTAATTGATGGATTAAGTAAATGTTGGTTCCTATTTCCTGCTTCTCTTCATCTCTTAGACCAGATCTTTCTTTCAAAGTTTGGTTTCCTACAGTGACAGCCTATATATACCCTAGAGATTCAAGTGTATGGAAATGACACAGACCTGACAAGTGTCATCCGTGGGCTCAGGGAAGGACCCAGTCTCCAAAACTGAGTACCCAGGCCTTTGTTTTCTGTTGTGACACTAGACAATTGTCCTAAATGAGAGCATCTAAAAGGCACAATGAATAAGAAAACTTTGGTTTAGACCTTTTATATGTTGATATATAATTCATAAATAACTGCAGATTATCATCTGATATCCATTAAAGATTAGTCATCAAGCTGGTTACCAAAGAGAAAGGACGAGGTCGGGGAAGAAGGCCACAGTATAAAGGACCTAAAATTATTGTGAATAACATGAGCCCTGAAGTGCGTACAGGGCCACCCGCTTACAAAGCTCCTGCCTACCTTGGTCCCCCACTCTATTTGGGCCACCTATCAATGTCGCTTCATCAACTCTTTATCAAGAGTCGAACTTGATCACCCTTTATCTTCCTCCATATAAATCTACATTAGAACGACAGGTGTAAAGCTAAAAAAGGAGCTTCTTTGGTTGTGGCAGGGGAGGGGTCTCAGGGAGTCGTCACCTCTTGCAAGTTCAGGATTAAGCCCTTAACAGACCAACTCAGTTAATCCTTTTAACAACCTCGGTCTTTACAAACTTCAGTGATTTTCCTGGCCACAACTCACAGCTAACATGAGGGTAGGGATCCAGAGCCAAGGCCAGCTACCTCCCCAGCCCTTGCCTCACTCCCCATGGTCTAGACTAAGCAGCAAGGGAGTGAAGTACCTGTCCGCACGGGGATTAGAAAATAAGAGATTTCTGCTGGCTAAGCCTTGGGACTTTAAGGGGGAAGGAGCTTGCTGATACTGAGTCCCCACCAAGGTGGAAGCCCGTCATGTAGAGGCTGGAAGATGTGTGCCAACAACTCTGTCCTCCCAGCAACCAAACATACCAGGATTTGACAGAACACAATTCAAATCGGCATTCATTAGGCAGCAGGTGCATTTCTATTTGATCACAGGCAGTGAAAGAGCAGACATTGGACCAGCCTATCCGTGCCCTAGCCAAAGCCACTGGTGGGCTTTAGTCGTTGCAAAAGCTGTTTTCTAACGATGCACCTCGTAGAAACCAGATTTAACAACATAGAGTCCTCTGGCACAAATTACACATCGATTAACAGTTGTTTGCCGAAAACCTCCCATGTGTCATGTCAGGCACTGGGTCGGGTGATGCTGGCGATGCGGAGGGGACATGACTAGATGATAAGCATTTTGTGGATTTAGAAGTCTGGTCCAATCGGCTAAAAATCCTCCACTTCAGCCGTGTCCTCTCATACGCCACAAACCCAACTTTGAAAGGACTTCGAGGAGCTCTGTTCACAGCTTGGCATAGACAGTGTTCACTGGGCAAATCTCAAGATATTTCTCACACACGTTCCCTCTGCTGTTTCTCTTCCCTCCTTCCCAAAGCCGTTTCTTTCTGGACTCTGATTCAGCTGTCACCTCTTCCAGGACACCTCCTGACAGACTTAGGTGGGTGCCCATCCCACAGGCTTCCATGAATCAGTGTGCCCACCCACCACTCCAGTCTGCTCACTGCCTTTGTCTGTGGCCATGTCTGTTTCCCCAACCTGCACCGAAATACCAAAGGAGGGACGTAAAGTTTCAGGATCGAATTCACTCTCTCTGGGCTGTAGTTATGTCTCTTAAATGAGATGCACAATGGACGTGATTGCTGATAGGACCCACCCAGCTCCGACACTCTGTGGGTCTGACAGAGAAGGGCTACTGATCAGACTATCATTTCTGGGACTTGGGTGATCTCCTTGGAGATTTTCAATCGGGTCTGCAGTAGATGCCGCTTTTCCTGGGAAATCGTGTGGAAGCCTGGATTACTGGGTCGCAGGTAAACCTGGCTACTCCAGAGCTTCTCTTACACTTGCCCTCAGAACCCCCGGGCTCTCACTTCAGAGAGAGAGCAACGGGCTTCTGGAGTCAACAGACTCGGGGGCCATTCCTAACTCTATCATTTACAGGTGGTTTAACTTCAGGTAAGTTATGCATCTTTCTGGACTTCTTTCCTGATCTGTAACAGGAACGTAGTCTGTACCTCCGAAGGTGGGTGACAACTAAGTCAGTGAGATATCATATTACATAAATTGGCCAGCATAGGCCCAGTCAAGATAGAAGGTAACTTTTGCTTCGTATAAACAGTAGTCACGGTTCACCCTCCAAAAGTGAAGGCCTGGCTGGTGTGCTGTGGCCACAAACCACAGATGGAAGAAAATCATCACTTGCCGGACCCCAGAATTTTAGTTAAATACGCACAATTTTATTGATTGAAGAGATTAGGACAAAAACATTAAACCAAATACAGGACAAAGCACCAGAGGCCATAGATTCCCGCCATGCATGTCACCAATCTTTCCTCCTACGGGGTACTTAAAAAATAGGGAAGAGGGAAGAAAAACAGGTCCTTCTTGACACAGCACCATCTTCAGAATGTAAAAAAAACTCTCTCCTTTATATCTTCCAATATCAAAATAGAATCAAGGTCAAATCCATGGCCGCCTTGTCTCCTGACATAAACGATTAGGCCGCCCTCGTGGGAAGGTGAAGGCCAGGCCCCTGCTGAGCAGGTGTAAAGCATCCAAGGTCTGCACATACATGCCACATACTATAATGAAGCACAGATTCAAGTAACATTTACATACTAGAGTCCACGTGTTACCTACCCAAAAACATGACCATTTCACAAAACGTGTACAGGCAGTAAAATCCAAACAACAGAGGTACTGGAAACACAAATATTTATGCCAAAAGAGTTCTGTATCATACAGCAATAGAAAAGCCATTAATAAAAGAAAAAGAAAAAAAAAAAGAAAAAAAAACAAAACATTGTGGCCACTCGAAATCAAATAAAGCTATCTAGAAAAGCCAAAGAAAAGGTTATTTCAGAGACAGATATACTCAAACAAGAAAAAAATATATATAAACGTTAACGACAGCATGTAACATGTCACCCCAAGTCAACCCGTAATTGAAGTACTGGCTTAATACATCACAATGTGACATTTTTCCTTAATAAATAGAAGAGTTCTTGAAGATACAAAGGTGCGTATTGGGATTGAGCTGATTTTATTTATACCATCCTAGCTTTCAGCTTATTCTCTTTCCCGTTTGCCTCTACTGAGGGTTCTCGTCCAAACCAGAGGGCCTCCCAAGCCAAAGGGATCATTCTCCGTAAAGAAAACTGAACAGCTGCCCTGTATTTTATACATGTGGGACAACCTCCTTTGTCTCGCTAGTCTCCAATGAAACAAAAACGTTTAGTTCGGAGCAGAGGGTTACGAAAGCTTCAGACTGCAAAAGCTCCCTGCTATGTCACACCCTCGTTATCATCTCCCCGAGAGGAACGTCTGCAATGCAACCCTCATCATTCAAAAGAAAAAGATTGAGAAGTCGAATTTCCCTCTTCCATTCTTCTTCTTTTTCTTCCTTTCTTTCAACTACGATAGCAGTAATGCATCTGGAAGTTTGACTTCTAATAGCTTCCTGCCACAAACCCATTGACACAAAACAGAATAGCTTATTAAAGGACAGATTTTTCTTTTTTTTTTTTTTTCCCTTCAGGGAGCAAAGCATTAACATGTCATTTCCTGACCAGGATATTAAATAGTTTGTTTAGAAGAAATGAGTTGCAGAGAGCAATTAAGAGACACAAACTGGACTTTTATTTTCTTTTAGTTTAGCACCCAGGTTTCATGTCAGTCTGTGTGCACCGAATTTTTTTTTTAAGTGAACCCCGATAATTATCAGATAGGTGGTTGGCTTGTTTGAAAAAGAAAACAAAAAACAAAAACAAAAACGAAAACCCTTGGCCAATTGTACCTTCCCTGAATCATGACGAGAAGCTAAATGCTAACAGTGCAATGCCAAGATGTGTGTTTGAGGCAGAGTGTTTCGATTCTGTCAGGATCTACAACTGTTTTTTGAACAAAATGAAAAGTGGGGTAGGCGGAAGTGGCCCAACCAACAGCGGTGGCCTCTGGGGCTCCATCCATCAGGGAAGAGAAGCTCCAGGGGGGTCCCACCCATCCGACCCGACCCCAGAGCCCGACGCCCACCCCACATCTCCTGCCCCCCATGCTACATGTTCAGTCAGCTCCTTGAAGGTTTTCCTTCTTCGAACCAAGAAACTTGTGAGTGGTCAGTGTCTTTCTTGCTACCAAGCCAGGGGACGTGTGTTCCCTGGACGAACTCGTTTCCGCTGCCCTCTCTCGCTCCTGGCACCTGCTCAGTCTCCGTGGGGTGTGAGCTCAGTTAAAGAAAGGGTCCAAGTTCTCCTCCATGTTGACATCCGGCACCAGCTGATCAGACACTTCCTTAGCACCATATCCTGAATTCGAGACGCTAAAATCTGTAGAAAACCAAGGGTGGCCCAGAATTTCCTGTGAGGTCAGCCGCTCCGACGGCTCCCGCCTAAGGATGCTTCGGATGAGGCACTTGGCCTTGGGAGACAGAGTCTCTGGAATGTTGAACTGGCCACGCCGGATCTTGCTGAAGAGGGAACTGGGCTCAATGTCATGGAAAGGGTACCGCCCGACCAGCATGGTGTACAGCATCACTCCCAGGCTCCACACGTCGGCCGCTTTGCCCGAGTAGCTGCCGCTGGTGTTCAGGATCTCCGGGCTCACGTAAGCCGGGCAGCCGTGCTTGTCGGAGAGAGAGTCATCGTTCCCCCGCAGAATGTACGCGTCCTCCAGGCTCTCCAGCTTGACTCGGGTCCTACGAGACAGGGAGAAAAGCGTGAGCTCCCAAGGGTGCTCTGAAACACAGGGCTCCCGTCGTCACGTCACAGCTCCTGCTAGAATGTTCCCAGGGGCGCTTCATTCATCCATGCATTCATTCAACCGGCCAAACGTGACTTACTTAGTACTTCCTAGGTGCCAGACACTAGTCCAGGGCTGGGAACAAAGGAGTGACCGAGACCGCCGAGAACTTTGCGTGAAGCTTACAGTCCACTGGGGGACTCAAACCTTCCGCAAGCACACAAACCATAAACAACGTTATTTATCACCCTGTCTTAGCGCCGCGGGAACAAGGGATTAAGGAATGGCCTCAAAGTCACGTCTGAGTAGTGATGGGAATTCATAGGATTTGAGTTCAGAGCAGCTCTGTCCACTTCTGGCAAACTTCTGGCTAACGTGATATAAGGCTGCATGATATAAGGGCCTTTCGCGTCACTCGACTGCATCTTGGCCTCACGACAGTGCTTCTGGTAGACGTGGGAGACGCTACTATCCCATTCTACAGACAAGAACGTCAAGGCACAGAGTTTGAGTAATTTTCCCAAAGCCTTTCAACTGGGAAACAGAGAAGACTTGACTTCATCTTCCTAAGTCCACCGTGTGTGTATGTCTGTGTGTGTGTGTGGGTGTGTGCACGCACACTTGAATGCATGGGTGTATATGTGAATAACAGCATGAGCTCAGGTGTGTGTGTGTGTGTGTGCGCGTGTGCGTGCACGCACACTTGTATGCATGGGTGTGTATGTGAATAACAGCATGAGCTCAAGACCCTTCTCAAACTCATCGCCCTGTCCCCAGTCTTCTCCCCGTCATTTAAGGGCCCCAGTGCTGGCTGACAAGGATGTCGGGACTCTCCTGGATATGCTGGGGAAAACAGAGTGGGAGAAACGTCTCAGTGACCTCTGAGTCCCTGGAACCCAATATACTCATCTTTACACAGCAGGGCTTGGTATTATCACTGGGAATAAAATAAAGTAAGTGCTCAATAAACACTTTTGGAAGTGAGTTGAATTCTTAGCATTCATTAACTATACCTAGTGTCCAGTGAATGGAGTTGAGGACCAGGATGTAAAGTGACTTGTTTAAGACAGAAGCCTGTCCTTAATGCAACACTCCAAGATTCTAGCCCAGGATGCTCTGCTTAGCCCAAAGGCCTCCTGAGTACTCCTGCTTCCCTGCCGTGCGTAAGTGGAAAGTTAGGACCACCGTTCGGTGCTTAAATCTGGAACCTTTCTCCCATTCTCCTGGCCTGACACTTGCCACCGCAGACTTCCAGTAGCTCTCAGGCCCCATAAACTCAGTGAATCCCATTCTGTCGTACTGATTAAGGCTTGCCATGAAGGTGAGGCGGGGCTGGAGTTAGGGGTGAGAACCTCATAGACAGCAACAACGAGGTCCTACGAGGCCCACGTCATCCACATCCTCTGGTTCCTTCATCTCAAAAGTGCACTTCATAGCATCTACCCTGTTGCCCCAGGTGTCATGAGGCTCAAATGAGTGGAGAATCGGAAAGTGCTTGAAAAAAAACACAATAAGGCTTCGGTCCTAAATCGGACCTTATGCCTCAGGTCCATCCACTGCTATTTCTCTTCCTCCCTCCTACTACAGGCCTTAGCTTTTCAGAGCAATCGCCACAGCTACCCAGAGCCAGAGGAGGGAGACGAGACTCAAATTATTCAGGGGAGATTTGCTGGGAGCTCTCCATAGAGAAGGTCTGATGAATTCCTCGGCTGATTCTAAGATCTTATATTTGGATGACAGGCGTTCCAAAGGCCAAGGAGTGACCCTGTCCCTCTACTCATTTCCCTCAACGAGCAAGAAATGGTTGTGGTCAAGGGAAGAAGCTCTAGGCTGGGAGCTAAGAGAGCGGATCATGGCCAGACGTCTCACCCGCTGTGTGGCTGTGGATGAGTCACTCAACCTCTCTGTGTCTCAGGTTTAAAAAGGAGTGTTGAGCAAGGTGGTCTTTTTTTTTTTAATTTAAATTTTTTACTATGGTAAAATATGCATAAGATAAAATTTGCCACTTAAACCATTTTTAAGTATACAGTTCATGAGCGTTAAGGTATATTCACAGGTCATGTACCCATCTGGACAAGACTCTGTGAAAGTCTCTGCCAGTTTTAACACTCTGGGACTCTGTGGTACCTAGCAGCACATCCTCCCTATCTGCTCACCCGTGTCCCACTATTGTCTATAGTACACGTTCTTCTCTTCCCCTCCCAGCTGGGGATCTACAAGCACAGGAGGGGTCTCGATGTGCCATAGATCACAGGAGGGGTCTCGATGTGCCAATCTGGAACTGAGCTGATTAAACACAAGTTTCCTCCCTTTTCCTCGTCTCAGCTGGAAGGTGGCGCCGACCCACGCCAACCTCACTAGACGCGCCGAGACTGGAGGGGAGTCTGGAGGGGAGTCGGGGAAATCTAGAGGACGGAGGGGAGGAAAGCGTGAACCACGAGTGGTTCTGACCCCTTTCTACGCCCACTCTCACCCCTAAACCCCCTGTCAAGCCTCAGGAGTAAGGCTGACTCCTCATCTCCAAATGCACTGTGCGGAAGCAGAGTCGCTATGAGAATAATTACAGCAGCGGAAGCAATAATAGTAAGTCCACCCATCTGTGTGACAAGGGACAGTCCAGCGGAATGAGCACTAGATTAGAATCAGAGGATCAGGCTTGGGGCGGGGTTCCTCTGCCCAAATCCTCCAGTGGTGTCAGCTCAGCCAAGTGTGTGTGGTGGGGGCGATGTCTTCACCGGGCTGCAGGGTGACCCCCAGACCTCTCTCAACCACACCTTCGGCCATACTCCCTCTCTCCATTCCAGCCTCTTCGCTGTCCCTCACATACCCAGGCTGAGCCAGGTCCCTCCTGGGGCTTTGCGTATGTCCCCTCCTCCCCCTGCTCCCCACCTGGGTGCTCTTTCTCCAGACACAGGCGTCGCTCACTCCTGCTCACTTTTTTCAGATCTCTGCTCCGATGAACTTTATTAGAGGCCATGCCCGACCATCCTGTATAAAGTAGTGCCCACAGCCGCAGGACGCCCCATCTGCCTCAGCCCCTGGAACACGACGCATTTTTATTTCTACAGTCATGTGTGTTGGCTCTACACAGTATTCCCGTGGTCGTCTCAGGGTGATGGCCCTCATTCCTCACCTCCAGGAGCTCGTGGGCTGGTGGCCGAGGTCACTTTGTATGTAGAGAACATCACCTGTGTTTACTGCTATACGTTCAGCACCTAAACTACTACCTGGCCCACAACGGACACTCAATCCAAGAGTAAAAGGGACAGTCACCCTATTAACCCCTTGGAGCTTCGCTGTGCTCACTTTTGAAGTAACAGGGGCCCCTACTCTGTCTACCTGGCCAGAATTAAGCAGAGGTCACGTGAGATGTATGGAGGACAGGCTTTGTGAGTTACGGGGCCTCATGCACCTTCACCATGTGGGCCACAGGAAGATGTGATTCAGCCCTTTCAGGGGACAGCATCTCAAGCTCGTTATGCTAAGTCAAATCTAAAGCCCTTTTCCATTCTGATCCCCTTCGAGGTCACGACCTTAGATTCTGACTCTCCTTCGCCTTGTCCCCCCACCCCTTCCACTTCTGGGCAGCAGAAGAATCCTCCAGATCATAAGAAAGGGCCCTAGAAAATGGTCAAGAGCTCCCTCTTATCAATTAACCCCTCACTGAAGTTCCTCTCTCCCCTCCCCCACCTCAAGGCAGGACTCGGCAGCTATGCAAATAGCTAAAGAATTTGAGAGTGAAATAAAGGCACCCCACATGCTGTGGTTCAGCTGCCCCTGGGCTCACCCACCTGCCACATCATCCCCCTCTCTGCGGAGGCTTTCAGTGCCCCCACCTGCCTGTCGCATCCAATGCAGTGCGAGTGGGACAAGGGCAGCTACACAGGAACCAGGCCAGTTCAGCCTTGAAGTCGGAGCGAACTACGTTCAAATTCTGCCTTCGAAAATTACCAAGCACCAAATATCGGCGTCATCTGTGGACCTGAATGTGTGCTAGGTAGCTACATATATTTTCTCTTCAGAGTTCATAAAATCAACTTCCAAAGTTGGAATCGTCATTCCTTCACGCGGACCCCGGGCCTAACGCTCAGGGAGGGCGTGTAAGCTCGTCGGCTGGGCTAGCAAGGCTAGCTGGGGGCAGGGCACTCGCCTCTCTGGGCTCTGAGCACCTGGCCCTCAGGCCTGTCCCCACCACCCGCCACGGAGCACCTGCAGAGGAAATCACATGGTGGGGCATCGGCATCGCAGTCAACGAGGCTCCATCAGAGCCCGCAGCGCGCATGCGCCCAGGTCAGGGGCGCGGCCTCCGGGGCAGGAGCCCTGCTCCTTCCCATCCGGGGCAGAGGGGAGAGAAGCCTGGAAAAAGACGCGGAGGAAACAGCATCGCAGGCGTTCTTGTGACCCCGCCGGCTTCTGGGAACATCCTGAACTTGTTTACATCACTCCCAGGCAAGGGTCGAGGCAAGAGGCCTGGACTGCGTCTTTAAACAAGGCCCTCGCAGGGTGCACATACGTCAGGGACCCGAGGCCCGGCTGGAGTTCCGGCTCCAGTCCCCACGGACCCAGGGCACAAGGAAGGTCTCCGGGGCTTGGCTCTCGCTCAGGGAACGGGGGACACTGACCTCTCCTCTCAACAGTGCGTGTAGGG